TCGCTGGAGTAGTCTGTCGTTCGTCGCCAATTCATAGCTCTCATGTCGCCTTTTCAAGGCCATGTCGCTTGTCGGAATTTACCCCTAACAGGGTCTCAACCCCATCTGTAATCTATTACTGGAAAGACCCACGGCAATGTGGAATCTCTTTGTGCATTGCTATTTCCCAACTTATAATTCCTGGCCTAATAACTGTTGTTACAGTTGAGTCTGTAGTCAAATATTCTTCTGTTTAAAAAGGCATACATTGTCAAACAAGGCAAACTGGTCAATACAACGCAGAATTGAAGGGTGGCATGGAAAAAGAGCCTAAGTGACATCTGATAGACGGCAAGATTCTTCTAAATTGCTCTCCGCTTCCTTCTACGAAAAAAGGAGAATTTGACAAGAGATCAAGAGTCACTTAAGGCTTTTTCCACGCACCCCTTCAATTATCCCTTTCGCCTTGTTTGTATGTCAAACCACTGATAACTGTTAGTATTAACAGCTATTCAATTTGGGCCATTCCCTGGGATGAACAAGGACAAACTTCTATGTGCTCGGTTGTTGAAAGCAAGTTCCTGGCCCAGTGCATTTGCTCTGTGTATAGATTTTTGATGTGAAATGTGGTGTATGACCAAGAACAAATTTATATGACCAAGTTTCATGTATTCCTACACAGCAGTTTGAGAACTTAGGTGTATAAAGATATACTGGCATACAAAAGTAACCAATAAAGAGATGTGCAATCAGGCTCTCATCATCAGTGCTAGAGGTTCATTGGCCACTTCCTCAGAATGGATATCAGCTAACACCCCAAGACCCTTGGCTTTGGAAGAAAAGGGAAGAAGTGGCAAATCGAGAGATCTGGTGCAGAACCACAGAGAACGAACAAACTATGTTTTCAAGTGTGGAGAAAAGTGGCAGTGGTTGCATGTGACCATGCCAGGGAGGGGAAAACAGTAGTTCACTGTTACCACAAAATAAATCACATCTTAAACCCCTGTTGTTTTGTTTATTTCTCCACAGGCAGCCCAAGCTCACACTGTGATTTCTCTTAAATATTTTATTTTAACAGTTTTACTCCCATATTTTTACAAGTTAACTACCTGACTGAAAGGGAATTGAAACTACTTCGGTCTACTTTCTTTTGGAGTAAAACTATACACTTATGTACAAGAAAACAACTTTGCAATTAAAATTAACAAATGTTAAATAAGTGTCCAGTGCTCTCTACACATGATCATGAATGTGATCGCTTGAGAAATCTGTCAGCTGTGCCTTCCACAGACCCATTTAAGTTCTGAATCTCCCAACCAAACTTCAGTCAATTGTACAACAGATCTCCATGAACACTGACAGGCATAAGCACAACAACCTGGGAAATAGAAAGTTTCATGATCATGATAAAAGTAAATAAAGTAATACCCTGCCAAGTATACAAGTTTATCTCAGAATGGAAATTTCCAAAGTCTAAACCACCTTTAGTCAATATTTTATAACTGAACCATTTCTAATAACCTTATTCTTATTAGAAAACTGGTTTTAAGAAAACTGCTTGATGAGTACTGAGGAGAATTTGACAATCTTGTACAAGAAATTCTGGCCAAAGGGATTACTTTAAATTGTTAAACAACACTCATAAAATCTTGCCTCTTTTCCTTGTTAGCTTGCTTTTAAGCTTCTCAAAGTCTGGAATATTGTTTCTGAAGAATAAATAGTCACAATCTTTTTGCCATTCATAATCATTAAGGATAACAACACTGAAATCACATGAGGTACAGCGTAACTTGTCACAAGCCCTGAAAATGGAAACAAAATATTGTAAGAGCTCAGTTAATCAACTGATGTGGACAGACTCCAAGAGCACAGTTTTTTGGGCATGTTGCCATCCCCAATTGCCATACCAAATACATGTACATGATTAAAAGGACATTTATCAGATATTTTGAAACTAATAGTGTGATGGTGGTAAGTTTTACTTAGCTCTTATTAACCGAGCAGGAGGTCTGTATAGGAGAATCGTGACCGAGGTCGTGAGTACAGACCGAATGCAGTGAGGTCTGTACACACAACCAAGGTCAAGATTCTTCCATAGGGACCGACTTAGCTTGGTTAATAAGATGTTTATTATATGGCAAAGAAGAAAACTTTAATTTGTTTAATGTAACTGGTTTGCTGACATTTTGCTTGCAAACGGAGATGAGCTTAACTTAAACCTGCTGAAATTTGCTCGTCCTCTTTCCTCTTTTTTTGTCATCAGGCTTTTTTTACACTTCCATAAATGATTGAAAAGAAAATAAAAGAAAACGGTGAACATTTTTGTATTTGAGTTTGCTACTTTTTCAACGCAAAATGAAACTGGTCTAGATGCCGGTCTAGATGGGAAAATCTGGACCACGGTCAATATCGATTTCAGCCAATCAAATTTGTGAATTCGTTAGTTCCCAGTCCTTGTGAGACACAACCATATAATAATAAGGTCTTAATATACCATAAGAGGTGAGATGGTAATACAGGCCTGGCTGAATTAGCATTGAAATCCACATTGTGGATGTGTAATTAAAAGTCAGAAAGTACTTGCCTTTCTTCTGACCCAGTGCAAAGTCCTTTTGCAAATTTGGAACCACCGAGGAAAACTTTTACACACCGCTTTCGTGATGAAGTTAAATCTTTTTTATTTAAAGACACATGTGTTGCAGGCTGTAGCAAAATCAAAATGTAAAAAGGAAAGTTTAATTAACTAGTACTAGCTGCAGAAAGAATGAATGGAAGAAACAAAAAAGAAATAATTATTGATAACTACAAGTTTATATATGAGTGTGCAAATTATTACAATTTACAGAGGATCCCAGAGAGCTTAATTGAGTCAACCGGTGTGGAGAATTTAATTTGAGAATAAAATAATCTATTCGCGTTGACTTGGTAACGAATCTGCCGTTTGTCTAAATATTTGATGAAAAGTGTAAGTAGCGCCATAAGGGAAACGCAGACATTCTTTTAATTTTTCTCTTACAATTTAAACACACTGAATAAGTATACTTGTTAGTTTTACCTCATCACTTGGTTCAGGAATGTCAGGTCCGTCGTCCATACACTCTAGGATCATATCGTGTAATTCCCGATCAGTATTTTTCACCTGTGAACTTTAAAAGGCATAACGTTTGAAGAATTAAAAGAAAAAATCAATGGATGCCATTACAATGCATATAAAAGAAAACGGCAAAATATATTCGGAATAGCGGGGAAAGCTCTGAAGAGCTCGCAAGCTGACCGCCAACCTTCTCAAGTTTTTGTCTTCGTTTCTCGTCGCCTTCTTTGAGCTGGAGATGTTTTTGCTTGAAGGTTTCTGCTTGGGTTTAATTGAACTGCGACTCTTGTCTAATAAATCATCGCACTCGTCTAATAAATCATCTATGTCATCTGCCATGGTTTGAAATTTCTAAAACGTTTAATGAACGAGGATTAAAATTGAAAATTACAACGTCCAAATCACCAAAACTCTGCACTGGGCTAGTGAGAGAGGAGGTACTGGGGAGACTAATGTCACGAATTGTCACGAAGTAATCCCGACGAATTACGAATCATTACGGACAAAGTCAACCATTTAACCTTAGCTGAGGGTTAGGGCTTTTCTTTCTACAAAACTTTTGAAGATGACTGCGGCGAGTGTTCCGTGAGTATTTTTCTTTCATTTAGCTTAATTTGTTGCAAAAAGCCCCTACCCAGGGGAACAGAAAATGGAATTACGAACTTTTCGATCTCAGGTTATCGTTCGCCCTTGTGACCTTTTTATTAGCAAACTAATAAACGGCGTTTTTTTCTTACCTCTGCATCAGATCAAAAGCTTAACAATAAGGTATTTCTTCCGCTATTACTCTGGTGCTGAGGTAAGACGACACATGTCTCAAATTTGTTTACCACTAACCTGCGACCAGGCTCCTGGCGAGGACGGAAAAAATTTCGGCGAGCGCGAAACAGAAGAATTCGGAGAGCAAAGCGATCGGGGCGGGCTCACCAGGAGCCTGTTCGCAGGCTAGTTAACGACATTTTTCCGTACCGCCTTTAATCAGTTTTCTGACCTATCAAATCCGACAACGACGGGTCACCATCAAATACAACTCTTTCATTGTCGACTGGTGTTCTTTATACCTTATGACAAATGTTTTATTGACCAAGCTTGTCTGGCTGAGATGTCTAAATATTGGCCATTTTTTGTTTTTTGGAGGGATTTTCTGTGAAGGTCTTTGAACATTGCCATAAAGGAACTCGGCCATTATCCAGCCATCTTGACCCCGCGTGAACCCAGCCTGACTATGCTGATTATTATACATTGTAGTCACCATCTGTCTTCTCATTGGCTAAAAGCCTACAGCTAATTCTGGGAAACAGCGCAACCTTCAGATTATAATCCACAGATTATAATCCGTAGGTTATGCACGCAATGCATGATTTCTAAGAGCAATTGATGTCAAGTTCACGTAAGAACATGGCTTGTCGAAAATAAACTGTGTTCGGTGCTATATTGCGTTTGTCGTTATTTTCTTTAAAACAATGTATAAGAAATAAAAATCTTAAAATTTGTTGTCACTGACTTAAAAATCTCAAAATAGACATTTTGGCTAAAATACTATAACCTTCTTCTGAATCAGTGATGAAATGAATGTTAACAGCGTCTAAATGTAAATGAGATGTTTATAAGAATGTGAGGAACTCGCTAGGGATTAATTTAGCATTTTGTAAATGTCTGGAATATGCGCATGGTCATT